CTATTTCAGGAACCTCAAGGCCTACCTCTGCCTCCTGCCCGAGCTCGGGACTACGCCATACCCCTTATTGATGGAGCGAGCCCTTTCAACATTCGACCATATCGATATCCCCATTTCCAGAAGAATATCATAGAAAAGATGGTGCACGAGATGCTTCAACAAGTGATTATCCAACCCAATTCAAGTCCCTTTTCATCCCCACCTCTCCTGGTTTGAAAGAAGGACGGTAACAGGCGACTAGCAAGGATTAAATCCTCTATAATTGACGAGGCTCTTGGACAAACTATACGAACGAAGGTCTTCACACCAAAGTAGAGTAAGAGAAGTAGATATTTTGAAGAAAACCTTCCAAACCCACAAAGGGCACTATGAGGTCTTGGTAATGCCCTTCAACCTGTCAAATGCACCTTCAACATGAACCTGATTTTTTGGTGGGACCTGCCTTGATTTGTAATAGTCTTCTTCAACGACATCCTAATCTACAGTAAAGGACTAGCCAAGCATATGCAAAATGTAAGGAAAGTTTTTGAGGTTTAAGGGCTATCCAACTCTTTGTATGAAGGAACAAATGTAGGCTTGCCAAGGAGAAGGTTGAGTACTTGGGACACCTTATCTCGACTAAAGGGGTGGAAGTTCAACCATGACGAAGGTTATGGTTAAAAGCCTCAGGGGGTTTCTCGACCTAACGGAGTACTACAAAAAGTTTATCAAAGGTTAAAAGCCTAAGGGGGTTTCTCGGCCTAATGGAGTACTACAGAAAGTTTATCAAAGGTTATGGTCAGATAACAAAGTTGTTTCGGAAGGGAGCTTGGAAGTGAAGTGAAGCATTAGAGGAAGCCTTCAAATCCCTCAAGCGCATCACAAGCCCTTCGTCCTTGAGTGCAACGCTAGTGACGAGGGAATAGGGGAGGTGTTAACACAAGATGGTCCATTGATTGCTTTAATTTGCTCAACCAGGCCCTCAGCGGGTGCAACCTACATCGATCAAAATATGAGAATGAGCTTCTAGCCATAGTCAAGGCAATGCAAAAATGGAGGCCATATCTCCTTGGTAAAAGGTTCCAGATCAAAACTGATCATCAAAGTCTCTTCCACATGCTAAGACAAAAGATAACCACCCCTGCTCAATAGAAAATTCTAAGTAAATTGATCGGCTATGATTTTGAAGTGGAGTATCGAAAGGGAAGGGATATCAATGTTGGTTTCTACATGGGTCAAGGATGTGAGGAAAGAGACCAGGAAGGATCCTTTCCCACAAGCAATTGTTCAAAAGGTTGAAAAGGGAGAGGGAGGGGAGGGGAGGGGACCCACCCAAGGGAGTGGTATGCAAAGATGAGCTGTTATAGAAGTGAGGAGGGATAATGTTAGGTCCAAACTCTCATCTTTGCTTCAAATTGTTCGAAGAAGTGCACGCTAGTCCCTTAGGTGGCCACTTTGGCTATCACAACACAGCAAAGTGATTGAGAGCAATCTGTTACTAGTCCGGCTATAAGAAGGATCTCAAAATGTGAAGTTTTCCAGCGTTGTAAGGGGTAGAATGTTCTAGTACTCGAATTCCTATAGCCCAACCAATTCCTAATAAGATCTGGTGGGATATATCAATGGATTTTTTTGCTACCAAATATGAGGCCAAAGGCAACAAGGAGATTTTGTTGGTGTCCGAGACCAACAAGTCCGACCTGTGTAAACAAGAGAAGAGTATACATCAGAGGCCCCAGGTGTTAATCGAGTCCTTAAGAGGGGTCAGACCAGGCTAGAGACAAGGGTTCAAAGCTTAGTCCTTAATAGCCAAGAATGATTATTTTGGGATTCTGAATGTAAGTGTAGGTATAAGTAAGTGTCTTTACCTTGAGATGAGCACCCCCTTTTATAGATGACCTCGCCTTTGAGTGGTTGGAAGTAGTTGGTGATGTGTGGCTAGGATTTGATCTAGCTAATGCCACATGGCGCGATTTGAGGCCCTTCAAGTATCCCTACATCACTTGCCCCCCACTTTCGAGGCCGTAGTGGTCGAGGTTGGATGAGGTGTTGAGCGGAGACCTCGAATTCGGCCAAAGAGAGTACCATGTAGTTGCGTGGAGGCGTCGGCCTCAGATGCAGAGGACTCTTCTTGGCAACTGTGTGGTGACTGCTTCCTTGTTCGCATCCGTCTTAGTGGATGATCGTGATGGACCGAGAATGTCTCCCCATTCGTTGGCCAAGCCCCGTACGTGTGTCAACGTCATCCAGTGCACAAGTTCGTACATGGGACGGGCGTTAGTGCTGACTGGTCGAGGCCGTGTGCGAAACGGTGTGAAGGGGCATCCAATTTGGGTCACTCCTGACTCGGAGCTGCCAGGCAAACCGGCCCATTCCTTTGGCACCGTTTCATCTTCCCGAGGTCAATGCCACGTGTAGCTCGTCGGTTTAGGTTGTTAGATCGGCTAGTTCACGGCCATTGGATAAAAGAGATCTAAGTTATACGTTCCCTTTTAAATAGGGGTCTTGGTTGAGCAAATCTTCACCATTTTCTTGAACCTTGAGTCTTCACTTGTGATCCAAAGACCTCAACCACCAATTAGTCAATTCCCTAAGTCTTCTTTCCTCGAACAATCACTAGGTAAAGGACTCCCGTCTTCAACATATCGACCTCAGACTCTAGACTTGAGTGCTATGAACTCTCTGACTGGAGTGACCGTAGCACCTCATCTTCCATCTCGACCTAAGTCCTGAGAGAGAGGACCACCCCAGGCAGAGCTGAGCGTGATGAACGAGGCATAGATTCTCCCGATGAAAGTACTTGCTCCACGAGGCTAAGGGCCGATGCCACGGGGAATGCCCCTGTGCTTCTTGAAGTGGAGGAGCCGGAGGAAGCTGAAGAGCCTACACTCGAGGAGAGGGCCGAGGCCAAGCACCGAGGCATGACATTGATGCATTATCCCTACTCTGACTTTGATAGTGAGCTCGGCAAAGAGCAAGTGAGGGCTATATTCGAAATGTACCATATCATAGGGGGCTATAGGGTTAGAGTTCCCTATGTAGGTGACTGGCCGTGGCAGCCCACCAAGGGGAGGAGGAGTCAGCCGTGATGAATCGGACTCGGATGACTAGGACGATTCACAATAGGCCCCAAGTGATAGAGGAAACCTTGGTGTGGTCTAGCCTCAGTCCTTCCCCCTCGGTATGGGCATTCCTGTTGTCAGCTAGTTTTCTTGTTTGTTTAACTTCCATTGCCTTCCTTCTAAGGTTGATTGTCTTCCTTGATTGCAAAAATGAACGGCAACTTAAAGGAGAGGCTTGTGCAAGCAACAATGACCAAGTCCAAGAAGGGCCAGACTGAGGAGCCTTCAAGGAGGCTGACGAGAGGGAATCGTCTTGAGCAAAGGGAACTATCGAGGCCGAGAAGAGGAAGACGGTCACACCCAAGCAGCCGGCCAATGCCCCTCAAGATCCGAGGGCAAAAAAGGTGGCGATGAGGAACCACCAAGCCGAGGGTGCTATCGGAGGCTCTCGACAATTGGGGACTCACTCCTCAGACTCGTGGGATGACATCCCGCTAGTGGTACGTCGGTTGTTCCGCCCAAAATGGAACGTGAGGGAGGGTGACTCGCTAAGCAACGTAGGCATCGGCCACACCCTGATCACCGGCATGCTTCCTACTAGGGACCGCTAACTGTGGACCCAGGTCTCCCCCAGGCTGTTCGAGACACATTACTTGACAAGCTAGCCGATGTAAGGCTGAATCTTCACTTGCTTTGTGCTACTCCCCTGTTACTTAGATTTTTCCAACTGACGTGAATTCCTTATGTCTGCGCAAACGTCTTTGAGAAGAGAGGGGAGCTTCAACCATCAAGAGATACAATGATTTGGAAAACTATAGCCACAT